AAAAAAAAAATGAAATCATTTGTGTGATGTTTGAATTGATTAGTGAATCTATTTGGATTCCATAGTTGGCCAAACTTTATTGCTTGTATAGGATGTAGCATTCTTAAACATATGCACAGTTTGTTTAGCATTTTTTATCTTTTAGAATGACATTAGTTGACTTGAAATTAGACTATTGAAAATTTTAGATCATTCAAAATTTATCTCCTTTGGACCTTTTATTCACTCATTTAAAGCTTATAGACATATGATCCTTGTATTCATTGATAATGTAGAGAGCTTCTCAAATTGGATCAAATTTTCCTTGTTATATTAATCAACCATTAACTTAAATATCCTAGGACTAAATCATTAATATAAATTTTCTCAATATATGTATTTTGTTGACAAACTTGACTGCTTGGATTTTTATTTATTAAATTTTAGAGAGGTTTATAAATTGATGTTGTTTCTTAAGAAGTTAATGACTTAATCTAGGTTTTGTAAAATATATATAATTAATTTAATTAGCTTATTGATCAACCGGGATTGATCAAGTATTCTTCATCCAAGTAAATAGATTATAAATTTCACTAGTGTCGCAATTGCTAACCAAATTAAAATCCGATTGCTTTGGCTAAATTAAAGTCATTTATCTATTAGACTAATCAATTTTTAGACAAATCATTATGTAATGCCTCAACTTAGTTGAATTGAACTTGAAGTTTATATTAAACTTTGAATGTATATTTTATTTTGTTATTCAATGATTGAATTTACTTAGGCAAAGTATAGTCATTAGGCAGTAAAATAAAATAATTATTCTCATCTAAGATTCAACCATTTAAATGAGGATCTACCTTAAAACAAATTGATTCATCTTCTTTGAGGATAATGGTATTTTGAATTATATTACATTATGTACGGCATGTAAAAATTCTCGAGAGAGTTAAAAATGAATACATAAAAGCATCAAGAATTATCTTTTGTTCATCACTAACCCTTACATGTAATATTATACTTCTAGGATCATGGGAAATGACTAACATCCCTTGTATGGCAGACGAAGGTCATATGAGCAAAGAATCTTTAACCAAGAAGAATGATAGAACAAATACTATATCTATAGTAATGATCACAATCAACACTACTGATAAAATTTGTAGAATGATAGTCAAGCAATGTGAACAAAATATGACGGTCAGACTATATTAATCAAACAAAGTTCGACATATGACTATCATTGTTGATAACAACTGTTTGCATTAAACGTCAAACATGGCTCTAAATTTTTAAAATCTCTAAGCTTTGTCCAATTTTAGGTTCTTTCATATATAGAATGGTGGTCTATTTAATTCTTTTTAAAGTTGTATTTTGATAATTTTAGAAAAAAATTCAACTATTCCATTGAAATGTTTATTTTGATTTCTTTCATCATAGAGTAACCTTTAAACATTTAAGTGCTTACAAAATATATGAACTTAATGATCTTAGGCTCATTGTATTTCAATTATCAAGGTATTCATTTTGACTACAAGTATATAAGATTCAAATATCAATTTTGTTTCTTAAATGATATTCTAGCTATACTTTAACTATTTAATTTGTATATTCTTAACTCAAATCAAAGCTCTTTTAGTATTGTTGAGCTTATCTTATCAAAATGTTTAGTTCAATGGTAAATTTGTTTAAATCATCGTTACATAAAAGTACATTTGTACATTTTTATTTATGGTGTTGCCTAACTCCCACACCGTGATCTTTTCATCTGGGCATCATGGATGAACATTATATTGTACTAGATGTAATTTTATGATTATTTTTTTGTTACTTGCAAAAACATAATCTCTACCATGTTGCATAGAGGGGGAGCTTTCAAAGCCAAAAAGATGAACTCAAGCAACACATCCATCATCTTCTTCTTTATATTCCTCTCAAAAACATAATCTCTACCATGTTGTATGAGCTCACGAACAATACGAGACCCTACGTCCTAAAAATTATTCAACAAAAGCATAGCAAAAAACCATTCTATATGTACATATCTTACACTAAAAGTTTAATATTTATACCGACGGCACTTTGATGTTATAACTTATATATGAAAGTGCCTATTTGATTTTAAAATGATAGAGATTATGATATTATTGATTTGATGTTAAAGAGTTAAGTGTGGTGCATGTAAATGTAAATATAAATATCAAGGTGTTGCGCATATACATACATAAATGTTGCATGATATATATGTAAATGTCCCATAATATTCGAAAAAATATTACGTCTTAGTCCAGATGCAGTCTGAAGCAGCACTCATATATTCGAAAAAATATTACGTCTGAAGTCTAGATATAGCATGAAGTCAAGACACAAATTTCATCCAAATGTGAGGAGTGATTTTTTTTTTTCTAGCCTTTTTTTTGTTTCCACACATTCAGGTTCGGATCAGGTAGATCAGGTCCCATTTTTTTTTTTCTAATAAACAAATGCCTGCTCGCTGTTCTCTGATATCTTCGATAGCTCTGCTTTTCTGAAAGCAGGAATAAAGCTGTGTCCCCCCACCGGCGGAGATCCCCAGATGCCATTAACGCAGGTGAAGGAGATCGAGAGGGAGAGAGGAATGGAGTTCCCGTCGGTTAATTTTTTATCTCATTTGATCTGGTGAGTACTGGAGTACCAGTTGCTGGACTGCTCTGAGTTCGATGCATTTGTTTTCGGTTCCTAGAACTACAGCGAGAGAAGGACGCGGGAATACTGCCGTAAACGAATTAAGAACCCAAGCGCTTCGCCGTCTTCTTGTTGTTTAACTCCATTCTGACGTCTCGTCGTTTTCGCAAGCAACGATTACCGGACTTGCAGTTCATTCTCGCGGTATTTCTTGGAAGGGGAGGAGATTTTTTTTTTATATATATAGAATCGGTGACGGTGAAGGGGACGGGGAGAGAAAGAGAGAGAGAGATGTTGTGCTTGAAGGCGGAGGCAGTGTGGGGGGACTTGTATGTCTCGCATGGCGCGATTCTTCCCGTGAATCTGTAAGGGATTGAAATTCAAATGCGTGTTTACTTCTTTCGTCTCTGTCTTCTTGTTTTTTTCTTCGCTTTGACTTGTCAGTATGTCGCTTTTCTGGTTTTATGTGTCGGGGATTCAGGGGAAGCTCGATTCAGAGTGCAATGCAGAGAGGGGTGAGACAAAGAGGAGAAAGATGGGGATATGGTGCGTCGGATCCGTCGTCATCTTCTTCATCTGGAGATCGTTTTTCTCGTTTTGAGGTGGGTTTCCTCCCATTCCATGACGGCAAAACCTTTTCTTCTATTGCTTTAAATTTATCGCGGTCCACGGCGACAAATTTTAGTATTGTTTTTCGATCTCCTTACTTAAATTTCTGTGAATTTTCCATCAATGTAAGATTTCATTGTTCATAGCTAAATTTCTGGTGATTTTTGACTGTCGGTGATTCCTTTATTTTGGTTTATATGTGAAAGAATGACAAAGTATGTTTAGCATTCTCTAATTAAGGCAGTTTGGACGTGCTTTTTTGTCAAATTCCAACTACCTACAATCCCACGTCATAATTAGTGGATGGATGCGGCAGATATTGAACAGTGAATTTTTTTTCTCAATTTATTGAGTTTAGTTTGTTTATTTGAAAAAACTATTTCGTTCCAATTACTTAATGCTCACCAATGCGGCATCTTCTTCCTTGCTTGTCAGGAAACTAAGACCATTCATGGCCGCAAAGTAGATTCGGGAGGAAAGATGGGATGCTACAGATCCCAGCTTGAAGAAGAAGTGAGTTCTTTGCCCATCTTCTCCTGGTTATGGCCTTGCTTCTATTATTAGTTGAATGAGCGATTTATGCTCATTGCTAGCGACATTAAGGTCTATCTTTCCATATCATTTGAACTTTTACAAACATACTACACAATTCTTATATATTTACATATCCAGAATCTAAAATCTGATATTTGCATGCATACCACTCAAGTCTTGTACATCACATAAAAAATGCCATTATTATTCACTTTTTAAAAGTGAAATACAACTTTTCATGCATATGTTTATAATATCAATGTGTTATAAATTGTAAATATCAAACTTTAGATGTTAGATATGTAATACATTAGAGTTGTGCTGTATATATGGAAATTTCCCATCTGTTGTGGTCCTTATTTGGCTAGCCATACTGTTTAAATGAAGTTGGTTTGTTTATCTTGTCTATTGTTTTTTGAAGGGACCCGCTGTTCTAGGATTCTGCATGTACTACTAGTTGTATAATAGATAGTTGGAGTATATGGTTTGGAATCCTTATTGTAATGGATGTTCTTGAGAAAGCATTGTGCAATAATGTTCATGTTTTGCAAGTTTATGTGGCTTTTGTAGGACATGTGGTGGAAGAAGATTTAGTTGAGGTGATTTTCTTATGAATTGGGGATGATTTTCTAGTTTTAATAGCAATGCAATCCGGTCTCATGTAAAAAGTTGTTTTAAAAATTTTGTAAGGATTTCCAATCATTCTTAACGTTTCTCTTAATGTCTGTGAAATTTACATGCTATGCTCTGAAGATATGCGAAGAATAATAATGGATTAGATTTTATAAATATTCTTCTTATAGTGGATAAATGCCCCAACATTTTTTAAGCTGGCATAGGTGTGCTGGCTTGATTGCTGTGCTTTATCTTTCAGGTTCAAATATTGGAGAAGCAACTTCAAGACGAAATTGACTTGCATGTGGCTTTGGCAAATGCAGTGGGAAATACTGTTTTGCCTTTATCCAGTTCCCCCTCCAAGCTTCCAAATAAGGTAAGGCCTTTACTCTTCTTGATATCCTTATAAAGTCTGGTAAATAATGGTTTTTTAGGTATTTTCATAAGTTCTACTTTTAGTTCTTTGATTTGCAAAATTTCTTTAGGCACGGGAGCTCTTAGCCAGCATTGATGCACTAGAGATAACAGTTAGAAAACTTGAAGAAGAACTCTTTATTTTGCATTTTAACCTTCAACATGAACGAAGCGAGCGTCATGCTGCTGAAATCCATATAGAATATTTACAAATTCCGTCGATGGCACCTCCATCATCAACTTCTGGGTATATATGGGAAGAAGTATATAATTTCTCCTCTTAATTTAACTTTTTGCATGTCCCGTATGAACTTCTAGATAGTGATGTTTTATTTTGTTTGTATTTTGCAGCATGTTTCTTCTTTGAGAGTGTCAAAGCTTGATGTTCAAATGCCTCCTTCAATCCATCTGGATTTATTACCAGGCAACGAAGATTTAGAGTTGGCTAGTGGCCCAGCTGAAAATATCCTGATAAACGAGGTCTGATTCATGTAATTTTAATGAGAAAAGTGTTAAAATAGTCTCCATACTCTTTGCAGGGGGGTCATTTTAATCCTAAAGTTTATAAAATTGTTAATTTCGTCCCCAAACTCTTTTAATATTGGTTGATATAGTCCCAATGAGGACTATTTTTGCCCCACTAAAACAGTTTGGGGACTAATTTAGTATTTTTATCAACTCTGGGACTAAAATGACCCCATGGCAATAGTCAAGGGACTATTTTGACACTTCAATTTTTATGCAGTTAAATCTATTACACCAAATATTTGTTGGCATTTAACACTAAAATTTTGTCTGATCCTGTTTCTACAACAGGTTTTGGGACCATGCCATAGGAGAGAAGAGGAGAAAAGGATTATAGATTCTTCCCTACGGTTGCCTGTTTTTGCACTGAAAGATTTGAAAGTGAAGAAACTCTGGCGTCACCCAAATCAGCTTTCAGAAGAAATGGTCTCATGCATGAGAAATATTTTTCTTCGCCTGTCAAGATCTCCGACGAGTACTTCCAAGACATCATTGTCAAAGTGGTTAACTTCGCTTTCTTTTGTGGCTGGAAATCTCTCCCATTCTTCATGGACATCTTTCTCAGATTCATCCAGGTTGCCTTCCTCGGCGCAAACTTCTTCTGAGCTGATTCACGGCTATGAAGTAATGGATCAGGAAGATTTATATGATCCATATGGAGTTAATGAAAGATCAAATTGGAGAGATATCGGGAAGTATCGTTTGGCAAAGGAGGTGTCTTGGATGTCAGTTGGGAAAGCACAACTTGAATATGCTGCCAGTGCTTTAAAGAAATTCAGGTTTGGTAGTACCCGCCATTAAAATTCAGTTATATTAGCTATCAAAATATGAAGTTTGGTATATTGAATACTTTGATAACCTTAAGATATTGTAGCTTCTTTCGCTTGAAAAGTGTATAATCCTTTTCATACATTGCTCTTTTTTGGTTTGGGGCTTTTACATAAATACCACCCAATTGTTATGTATTTACATAGCTCACACCTAAACTTTAATATTTATATGCATAGCACTTTGGTGCTTTAAACCTATGCATGAAATGGTGTATGTCACTTTTAAAGAATGGTATTTGTGTTAACTTTGGGCTTATATTTTTAACGATGTTTACATATGCTTACAAGTTGACATCCTTCCACAATGCCTTGCAGGTTTCTCGTAGAGCAACTAGCAAAGGTCAACCCAGCTCAAATGAGTAATGATGAGAAGCTGGCTTTCTGGATTAATCTGTATAATGCCTTAATAATGCACGTATGTTTTAACCAAATTTTATATTTATACGTTATAATAGAATCACTACTTTGTATCAAATGATTCGGGGTCGAACCGAAATTATATTTTTGGATGGGCAAAATAAACAAATATCTGATTTCTTTCAAGTATTAGGCAAAAAAAATATATTCATGGGGAGCAAAATTACTAAATTCTAGGTGCACAATTATCCACCGGGACATTATCCGGTTCCGCCCTTGCAAATGATTATCATACTACAATAACAAAATTGATAAATCTAACCATGAAATATATATTTCTCTATTGGCACTGAAATTTTATTTGTTTTCAGATCTATCTGGCATATGGAGTTCCTAAAAGTGACATCAAACTCTTCTCATTGATGAAAAAGGTTAAAAAGATCGTATCTTTGCTCTTCTGCTACTGCAATCGAGCAAAATTTCTCTCATGTTCTAATTTTGTTTTAATAACTAATTGCAGGCGTGTTATACTGTTGGAGATCAAACTTTTAGTGCTGCTGACATTGAATTCGTTATTTTAAAGATGAAACCTCCCGCTCATCGGCCACAGATTGTATGTAAAATTCTATGGTTTTTGCTGTCCTTTGTTTTTTTTGGGTGTGTGCGGGATTTCTAATGGCCTCTAACGTATACATTTCTTTTCAGGCATTAACTCTGGCTCTGCACAAGTTCAAATTGACAGAGGAGCACAGACAATACTCCATTGATAGCTTGGAACCCCTGGTCTTGTTTGGGCTTAGTTCTGGGATGTACTCTTGCCCTGCAGTAAGTTCCTAAATTCTTGATTCCTTCTATTTCCAATATTTACAAAGGTTTTGATATGTTGTTCAGGGTGCTTTCTTTTTGCAGTATGATGAATGGCTTAGTTATAATGAAAATTGATGAAATCCAATTCATTCTAACTTTCATGTTATAGGGTACAATTTCTTTAGGACTATTTAAAGTGGTGGGTGCAAATATAAAATTAGGAAGTGGATAATCATTTTTTTACTAGAAGGAAAAAGGTTTGCCCCAAAAGAGAACCAATTTGTTGTAGCATGCATTTAATATCCTTGCCTGCTAGAGAAAGGCAAGGATTCAAGCATGCATTTAACAATGGGATCAGATTTATTTGTTAATTTTTGTATTATTTTTTATTTTATTTTTTAAAACATGTTTGTTTATCGTGTGCATCTCTGCCTTGATTTTCCCATTTAGGATTTTTCATGTAAATCCGAGTATCTTTTGATTAAATCATGATGTAGGTAAGGATCTTCACCGCAGCCAACGTGCAAGAAGAGCTGAAAAACTCCATGAAGGACTATATCCAAGCATCCGTCGGCATAAATGACAAAGGCAAACTCCTTGTCCCAAAGCTGCTGTACTTCTTCGCCAATGGAGTCGTGGAGGATTCTCTACTCGTCGATTGGATTTGCCGGCACCTCACCGCCGCCCAAGCCTCAATCATCATGGACTCAACCTCGCATCAGAAGCAGAGACTTCTTCGCGCGCCGAGTTTCAGCGTAATTCCATTTGATTCCAGGTTTAGGTATCTGTTCTTGCCCCATAACAAGAACCAAAATTGTTAGTTAAGTTTGTTGAAATTACACAAAAGGATGCCCCAGGGCAGGATGAATAATTTCAGCTGGCAAGCTAAATAAAATGTACATTTATTCAGATTGATTTCCTCATAAATAATAAGAATATTATTTGCAGAACCTTTCCGTCCATACCAACTGAAATTTTACAAGCAAAGGCTGAAAATTTACAAAAATAGCTGTAGAATTTCTGTATGATGTTTCATTTACAAATTTAGCAGCAGCAGTGAAAGAAGAAGATGTGCGACATAGACACCTCCTAAGTACCAAATTGGAAAATTTACATACATGCCACACAATTCTTATATATTTACATAACTTACATGTAAAATTTGATATTTACACTTATAAAACCTTGGTTTTCTAATCCTATGCATGAAATTAAAAGTGATGGTGGTATTTTTGAGGTGATGTTAAACATTTGAGTGGTATGCATGAATATTTACATGCTAGATAATAGGTAGGCAGATGAGAATTGTGTGGTATGTATGTAAATGCTCCCGAATAGAATAAAGGCGATAAAGAACATGGACAATGGTTTGGAAGGAAATTGCGACATGCATGTGGAGCAAAATGGAAGATGGGATGCTCTGCACATGATAGAAGGAATTATGATGGTTTACATACAGCAATATTACTACTTTGGAAATTTACATATATTCCACACATATCTTTATATTTACTTTTCTAATATATATATATATCGTATTTTTAATGCATATTTTATTTTTAAAATGAAAATATTAGTTATATTTTATGAAATGTCAAAGATTTGAGTGTGATTTAAAGGGAGATAAATTTAGGAGTTACATACATTAAAGACATTAGATATGTGATATGTATGTAAATGCCTCTATTTTCTTATTGTTGAAATGCTAATGTTTCAAATAGAAGAAAATATTACGTTCGTACGGCCGAACACAGAGGAAAACGTCCATAAGTGCGGAGCGCTTGAGTTCTTAATAAAATATTACTTCGTTCTTCTTTGCTCGTCATTCTCTACACCGAGATCTATCGATCCTCTCAAGTCTTCCAAATCCTCATTTGTCAATCTCCTCAACTACCCTTTCCCTTTCTCCTCCCCTCTGAAATTCCGCAAATACATCTTCTTATTTCTCTTTTCCCACTTTAATTCTGTCTCCATCTCCCTCATCGAAAGCTGCTTCTTTAAAACCTAATCTTTTTTCCTCATCGTGTATGAATTGGATTCGAGCATTGAAACGTTACTTATATTAAAGACGAGATTCTAGAATGCTAGGTAGTATTTTCAACGTCTTTGGCTATTGTTTTCTGCTGGTTTGTCTGCTTAGCTCCCCCACCAGGCATGGCTCAGACACGTTGCATGCTTGTTTGGCTTTCCCGCTGATATTAGTTTTGTACAGGTTGAGTGCATTTTTATCTTTTCCTCTATACTTTTTAGAGGCCCAGGAAGAGTCTTTATTATAAATAAGGTATGAGTGTGGGTTCTAAGATGTCAGATGGGCGGAACCATGTGAGACTAGGAGCTATTTGCTTGTGCCCATACATTAATTCTAAATTTCATTTATGTATAGAATTAAGACAAGACATGTATATGTGGAGTATGATTGTCTTTTTCTTTTCTAGGATATGTCGCCGACCCAGCGGCATCGCCCTTTTTATTATTTTATTTGGCTTGTTATACTGCTTTTCCTGCATGATTACATGCTTGTGTTGTTTCTCCTATTTCTTTCCAGTTTATTTGAGATGTTATAAAAATTACAATTTAGGCTCTTTAGGACCTTAAAATTGTAAATTTTTCTACAAAAAACCTAATTAAATTTTCAAGTTAAATTAAAATTTAAGATTAAGAGATTCATAACTTTTCAAAACCTGTATTTTACTTTCTTACATGGCCTTCGAGCCGGTTTTATAACGGGTTGCATAGCATGACCTTCACTCATCATAAAATAGGTTCTTCACAATATCTAAAGACCTCTCTAGATAACTACATCATTTGCATGACCCTAGGAGAAGCCACCGTGCTTCTCCAACCTGACTGACCTAATATAGATTTCTTCTTAGGTGATTGCCTAGTGTACTTAGGTCATTAGAAGGGTTCCCAACTCAAACAGGGTGTAAGTCCTTTTATTGGGAGCATTTCCAGATTTGTAGTTGAACCTCTCATTGCTTCTCTTTCTGACGACATTCTTGTCGTTTCAGTGGATATAAGTTACACCACTTGGAGCTTCACTTGATAGTCATAATAAAGGTTTTTTTTCCTTTGATCTTAGGGCTACCGAGGTCCCTACAGATAACATAATTCATTAATTGCTGATTGAGAATCTCTGGATGTGTTGGGTCGACTACCTTCACTTCCTAGTGTCTTGGGATGGCTGGTTTGTGGTACCCTGATCCAGCTACCTCTACCTTCTAGGGATTACTTCTCCCTCCTTTAGCTATATGATTATGATCTGCAGTTCCTTTTGCCTTCGTTGGTATCATCTTGACGACTCGATTACCGATGAGTTGTTGCCCGTTTGTGAGAAGGTGATTTGTCCTCTACCCTTAGAACTAGATGTACTTTGACGTATCGGGATTTTTCGTCAGAATGATTCGGTTATTTCGCAGGCTCCGTATGTCAATGAGTCTGTTACCCATGTAGGACTGTGAGAGACACACTCTCTGCCACGTGGCTTAACGTGAGCTTTGAAAATGTCAAAGCAATTCTTTGTGAAATAACTACCCTTTGAAAGCTCTATGCTAGTAGTCATTACTAATGCCAGCAAAACTTCTTTGAATCAAGAGTATTATTGGGCAACCCCAAAGATGTAATTAAACAAATGAGATATGCCCTCTTTGGATCACCTTAGAACCAGCACAGGCAAACATATCTGAATATCTAGTTATGGGTAGTCTACGTAGGTTTTCTTTCGCATATATTGGTCTAAGATGCTTCCGCCCTATCTTTTCTGGGGGACATATTTGTCATATCCTTACAAGGTTTATCACACGTAGATTGTTCATATTCTTTCTATTGTTTGTCTTCTTTATCGTATGTCCGTATTTTTTAGTTTTTCTCTTCTGCTAATCATTCACATGATCCGAAAGAGAAACTTATTCGAAAAAAAGAAAGTATGTGTCGATGAACAAACTAGCAGCTCCTTTAAAAATAAAAAGAGACAAAAAAAAACAATATTCTTTGATAAAGTGAACGCGGCGAAAAATAATGAGTTTGTGGTGCTGAGATGAAGACACTTGTAACCTTTATGATGATAATTGCATCCAAGAAAGGTACACGTTTGAGCCTTCGGGCTGAATTTATTAGTGGCAAGGGAAGGTTGCCAAGGAAAGTAGGCACACCCAAAGGTTTTTCAGTGTTGATAGTCAAGTGAAGAATTGTTTAATAGTTGAAAAGCAGAGATGTAATGAGTGGTAGGAGAGAGTAACGTACTGATGAGATAGTTTGTTGTAAGAATAACATCAATCCAAAATTGTGATGGAATAAGAGACGTGTTGAGTAGAGCGCATGCGGTTTCTACAAGATGTTGATTTTTATGTAAAACCAAACCATTTTGTTTTGGGGTGTACAAACTACTAAATTGGTGTATAAAAACCATGATTGACGAACACGAGCCGAGCCTGCTCATTTACAACCCTATTCACATGATCCAGAAGAGAAACTTATTCGAAAAAAAAGAAAGTATATGCCGATGAACAAACTGGCAGCTCCTTTAAAAATAAAAAGGGAAAAAAACAAAAACAATATTCTTCGAAAAAGTGAACGCGGTGGGAAATAATGAGTTTGTGATGCTGAGATGAAGACACTTGTAAGCTTTATGATGATAATTGCATCCAAGAAAGATACACGTTTGAGCCTTCGGGCTGAATTTATTAGTGGGAAGGGAGGGCAAGGGAAGGTTGCCAAGGAAAGTAGGCACACCCAAAGGTTTTTCAGTGTTGATAGTCAAGTGAAGAATTGTTTAATAGTTGAAAAGCAGAGATGTAATGAGTGGTAGGAGAGAGTAACGTACTGATGAGATAGTTTGTTGTAAGAATAACATCAGTCCAAAATTGTGATGGAAGAAGAGCCGTGTTGTGTATAGTGCATGCAGTTTCTACAAGATGTTGATTTTTATATAAAACCAAGCCATTTTGTTTTGTGGTGTACAAACTACTAAATTGTTGTACAATACCATGATTTTGTACATAGTCTAATAATTGATGTGATCGGTATTCACCACCCCTGTCATATCTTAAAAATTATAGGGTTTTATTATAGTGAGTTTGTATGTATTTATTTAAATGAATAAAATGTTGGGTGACATTAGATTTATGTTTCATGGGAATGCCCCATGAAAAGCGGGAGTAAGCATCACTGAAAGTAATGTAAAAAATGTAGCTATCTATTGAAATATACGAGAATGGACCCCAAACATATGAATGAATCAGATCAAGAAAACAATAAAAAGTAATTCTAGAAGTAAAATGTAGTTAGTGACTTTATTTTTTGCAAACAATTTTTACATATTGTATAATTTTGAGAGATCTAAAATTGAGGATTTTGTTTTGAAATAACACTGATGATCTTGTAATGAGGGTGCTAGAGTGGATGATGCCATGTGTTGGAAGGAACATTGGAGTGATGCAAGGCAGTGGTAAGGTAAAGAACTTGACTAACAAGACCAATCAAAGGCTTTTTCCCGATTTTGAGATTTTGTACATAAAAGTAATTAGGAGTAAAAGTGATTTGACAGTTGTTATCACAAGTTTAATCATTTACATATACTAAATTATGAGAAATATTAGGTGCATACAGAGAGAGGAGGAAAGAGTAACTTACTATCTGGAGTGAGTAAAATATGCTTACTAGTTTGTAAGATATCGATAAGTTGTCCATTGCCAACCATCACTTTGTCGGTACCCAGGTATGGTGTGGGATATTGCACATTCTCAATATGAGGGGTGTGACGTGAGCCTTGACACTGGTGTTTAGAATCTACTATTGTGAATGAAAAAATATTACATCAGTACTATGCACGTAGAAATAACGTGCGTAGCCAATGAAATCCCGCCACGACCTCCCGCGCGGCAGGGAAAAAAAACACGCGTGTTATTCATGTGTCATTGCG